CGTGAATGCAAGGAGGCTTTCTCACTGTTGGTATTCGGTATTGAGTCTGATTGACATCTTAATGGATTCCCTGCCACCTTGATGCTTTTTCCATAACTGCTAATCATTAGCTGTGCTGCCGTTTGATTAAAATCAATTGATCATTTGATTTGTTTTTGTACATGTGCTTATATAAACAGATATGGAAACATGACGGACGCTCACCGGCCCAGGAAGATATACAAAGATTATAGATTACACTGCAGAGTTGGTTCAGAGGGAGTTAAAACTGATGGTGTGCAGTATTTCCTGCTTTGATTTACTCGTTAAATGGAAAACAGTCTCCCACACATTACTGGAAAGCCCGCATACACACATTTTTAAAGCCCCTGAAAACTTTTCATATAGCTTTATAAACTCTGATTGGTGCACTGAAGACAAACACAAATACAGAAATCTCTTCTGCGAAATACTCAAAACTGCTCTAATTCTGACAGAAATGTGTGTGTGTCCACGTAGGGCCTCATCACTTATGATAACAAGCTGATAGAGAAAATTGATTTCCAGAGTCTATCTGCTATTTTTGCTCTCGCCCCAAATAAATTGGAATTAAATGGGATTTCAAATGTGGTTTTCACAGTATTTAAAAGTTACATTAAAAAAATCCAAAGCAACATAAATATCCCAGTTCCACTGGATAAACCATGAACCTCATTTCTGTGAATGGTTCTTTTTACCAAAGAAATAATCCCTGAGAAACAAGGACGTTTTTCAAGAAGATGCTGCTGCTGATTTTATCAAACAAAAGGTATTTTTTAAACCTGATGTCAACACAAACTAATTTGCATTCACTTCCATTGTACTAGAATGAAGAAAATCTGAAAGATGTGAGACAAAATGCCAAAACTCAGACAAAGGAAACTGAAACTATCTCCATTACTAAACACCACAAGAGGGAAGTGAGAAAATGTGCTTGTTTTTTTTGGTATTTTGGGTTAGCTGGCCCTTTAAAAAAAAAAAGGAAAAAAAGTATGGAATGAGGTGAAGGGCCAGACAAAGAATGAAACTGTGTGTGTGTGTGCAGCAGCTTGATGTAATGAGCATCTGGACTGAAAGGCAATCCTTTCACCTAACGTGTGTGTATGTGTGTGTCAGTAGGAGGTCAACACCATCCAGTGGGTAGCAGCTGTCACTTTTCCTCTGCAGCCTCCCAGATTGCATCAAGTTGAACCTGTGGCCACACCAGACACCGCAGACGCTCTGATGGGTGGGTCCCAGACTAGGTGTTCATTGATCAGTCTGGAAGGTCAGTCGGGTGGAGTGGGGGCGGGTGACCCAGGAAGAGGTAGAGAAGGAGGGTGGGTGGGGGGGGTCGACACATGTCATCTCCTTTCTGCACCTACCTTCCTGACCATCACTTCTCTCTCCAGCTCCATTCATTTTTTTGCTCCCTACTTCCTCCATCTGTCATATAAATCACCTTTTTACACATATTGACTAATTACCTGTGATGTGATTATTAATATTGCTCTCAGAAAAGGTTTTAATTGGTATATTAATGAGGTGACAGTGAACACAGCAAGCCTCTGCGCATTTCATTCTTCTCCATGACTGCCAAACTCTAATCTGCATGACACAGTGAGAGCTAAGATTGCACATCTGCATGTTCATCTGAACGTGTTATAGTCCATGTCTAAATCTCATCAATGCACATATGCATATTTAAGACAAACACACACACACAAACACACTCCTACTACTACTGCATATTTGCTGCACTACTTTTGTTATATCTTGGCAGAATAGGTGTGATCGTTTTTTATTATCTGCAGTATTGTGTATGATAAATTCATATCCTGCACTTTGCTGCTGCTGCGCCGTGGGGATCATTACCGATTCATTTAATCAGATCTAATCGAATTATTAGAAGCAACCACATTACATTAAAATGGAATGCGCTTAAAACACACACCATGTTATACCAAAGGCTGCTGGGAAAGAAACACAGCGAAAGGTTTTACACGAGTGTTACAATCTTTGACTTTAAAGGGAGAAAGCTTCAAACTCTTAACTTCACACTGACAAACTGAGCCGCCCCACCTTTTATTCCCCTGAGATATCCGGGGATGAAAAATGTGAGAGGACAATGGATGAAGAACGCTGAGAGCGGTGACGAAGGTTCAAACCGGACAGCGAGGTCATGGATGATGAAGAGAAATTTTATCATCACGATCTGTTAAAGATATAGCTCCATATTTTGGGAAATACGTTCATGTGATTCCTTGCAGAGAGTTATCGGACACTGAGACTGAAATCAAGTACCGGTGAGACATGAAATGCAATCCAGAGGGGTCAGTTTGAGTAACACATCTGTGAAAAACTGCACGATGCTTTATAAATCTGTGAGACAGCATGTTACACTTAATAATTATTTAAAATGATTAGAGCAGTTGCTTTATATTCTGTCACGACAACCATGGGGAAAACAGAAAACAGACAGGGACCATGTTACAAAATAACCCATTCACTGAAATGAATGAGAGAGCTGCATTTTTTCATGTAGAGTTAAAGTTGGTCTGAATCACTTAGAAGTGAACATGGATACCGCTCTCATCATGTCTGTGAGGTAAATATGAAGCTTTAGCTCAAAGACTGGACTGTTTCTCCCGGACTATTTCTTGTCCAGGCGTAGTGACTTTGTGGCAGTAATGCTGGTCGCCTGGCAACGACATGGTTACAACAGCCTCCAAAAAGTCACTGCACCTGGCCAGGAAATAGTCCTGCGTCTGGACTACTTTGCTTTGACCTGCCGCCACCGCGACCTGACCTCGGATAATGCAGAGGAAAATGGATGAATCGATAGAAAAACAACGCAATGCTTATATAGATACACCACGTTAAATAGTGAGCCTTTATGCTAAGATAAGCTAACCAAAGTTTCCATTAGCCTCAGTTCATACAGCATTTTTGCTTTAAGTTGTGGCACACCAGCCTGATGCTTTCACATATAAATATGGTGCAGCTCAACACCGTCTTCTTCTCTGTTCTTGGACAAATATCACTTAATTGGTAGCTCATGGGTGATAATGTTTCACTAATCCAATGAGACTGTTGCTTGCATGTCTGTACTGTAAGGGTTTTTTTTTTTCAAGAGAAAAAACAGCAGCAGATCAGAGCTTCAGCTCACATCACAAGTTACACCTCCTATTTTCATGCAAACAAGGTTCACTAATCCATAGGGGAATTACTGTAAATTAGCTATTTCTCTCTGTGCCTCACCAAATCCCATCCATGTAAGGATCTGCATGGATATAACATTTTTTATATCACAAGTAAATGCTTATTTACATTTAAATATCAATAAAATGGGGCTATTTAATAGGAAAGTGCAAATTTTTGTACATGTAAATGATTAAAACAGTGTGGGGGACTCCTTAAACTCACTTAATCTACTTATTTTATCTAAAAAGACATTTTCTTTGTGCATTTTAAGGAGCCGAGCCTTGCACCCATTCACTTTTGATGATTAATTCAAAGCAGGGCGGAAGATTAAGTATTTTCAAAGTATGTAACAAGGCAGAAGACAGAGAGGAATGAGATGAAAGCACCAAGAGAAAGAGAGAGATCACGAACCATACAAACTGAGAGAGAAAGTGATACAGACGGGGAAACTGAAAGACTGCCGCTTCTGTTTCTCCAGTCTGTTAGTTCTGTGTCTTTGTAGGGTAGCTCCTGGGAAATGGAGGATATAACCCTCTAAAGTCTCCCTGTTTCATGTAGGGTCAAGATCTTTTTGATCAGGGGTGACTGAGGATAAAAGCGCAAGAGGAAGGGCATGGGGGTTGGGAGAAAAGTAGGCAAGAGTTAAACTGCAGGGAGAAAGAATAGAGGATGAGTGACAGAAGATGGGGTTTAAGGGTAAGAGGAGGGGGTGTGTGTGTGTGTGTGTCTGAGTTTGATGGGAAGATGAACTGGACAGACAAGGATTTCACGGTGTCTGCTTCCCCGCCGAGCTGCAGGGGGAACTTCAGAGGAGCAGTTATAGGAAGGATGTTTCCCAATCATCATCCTCCAGAGTGAGTGTGGCAAAGTTTGTGTGGCACAGTTTCATGAGTCGAAAAAAGGCAGCGGCGAGATGGTTTCATATGGCAGGAAAAACAAGTGTCAGCAGTTGTTGGTTTGTGTCTGCGTGTGTGTGCAGCTGTCGAGAAGACACACACACACAAACACACACACACACACACACACACACACATGACATGGCAGACTGAGTGCTGCTTCTATATTAACTCTCTCAGAGGGAGGGCTCTACATCACAAGCTTGATATTGATTACAGAGACTATGATGCATTGAAGACACCAGATACTGCAGCCATATGTCCACATGAAATTACCGTGACACACACACACACACACACTCACACACACACACATACACATCAGCAATGCGTATCTCTCCTTGTTGTGGAAGATGCCCCCATTATTATCCCTTATCTTGCAGCATGATGATGACATACAGGTGCTCATGCATTTGCACACACATGTTTGCACTCTCACACTCTCACACACACATACACACCTTGTTATTATGTATGCATAATTATTGCAGAGGCAGAACAGTGTCATCTTATGAAATCAGTGCCATGTAACCCTCTGCTCTCATAAGAGTCCCTCTGCAGCGCTTCAGTGTGTTTTCATGTGTGCTGCGCCTTTAAACGGCAGGCGTGGCTCCTCTACTACGACCCGCCTTTTTATGCATAACAGCCAACCCTGCTTCTCCCGGATCATATAGTGCAGCAGTCTGCAAAGAAAGTGACCACAGCCAAACGCCCATCCAGCCCTTTGAGCGGCGGGACTGCGACCAAACGGACTCATTTGCCTCAGCGACTGTTTACCACCTGAAAGCGACACCGCACGGAGCAGCGGGAAAGCTCACGTTTCAAGCAGATTTTGTCGCAAAAGGAATCACTGTGGTTGCTGCTTGTCTTGTTGTTTTGTTGTTTTGGTTTTTTTTTTTGTTGTTTTTTTTTTGGACACTCGAAATTGCGCACGGCGGATCTATGAAGACGCGGGCAGGTTTTTCACTCTCAGCACCAGGTAAAACTCTTAGTATTATTATCTTTTATTCCTCGGGAACTTCACTTTGTCAGGATGTGAATACACAGGCGCGGGAACAGCGGTTTCAGCTGATACGTGAACGCTTGGAGTTTGGAGGTTTTGCAGCTTTGAAGCGCGTCTGCTGCTTAATTAACCGATCGGCGCTTTTTTAGTCGCAGCTGAATTCTTTGAGCTTGATAAGGAGCTGAACCGAGGAGGAGTCAAATAAACTACTTTACATGCTACTCCTCGGTCTGAACAGGTTCACTGGCAAGCAGGACGGGTACCTGTCTCTCCAATTAATCAATTTCAATCTGATTTAATCACTCTATTTTCTGCTGAGCAGTCAGTTGGACACCCCTCCCCTCCACCACCACCACCACCGATAAACCCCCTCCTCTCTCTCTCCCTCTCTCTCAGCCTGTCACAGTATACTACTAAAACGGTGTTATGTAATGAAACACTGTTGCGAAACTTGGAACTTCTCAGCAGCAACACGGAGAAGTTTAACTTTAACTTTTCAGTATTTAAGCATAAGATAGTTTGTATTAATGTCCTTTTCGGTGTCTGTGGTTCTCAATGACCTCACATGGACTCAGCTGGCACACCATGTTCTCCCGCACGTGTTTAATTCATCTGTTAAACCTTTTTTAAGTTTGTACCCCCCCCCAGAAAAAAAATATTGTCAATGTTAAACTGTATAATTATCCAGTTTGATGCATTAATGGCCACAGAATTAGCACATTCCCCCCACAGAGGGCAACATGTCCACAGACAGGGGTGTGATTATTTTGATGAGAATAAGGCTCAGCTCTGATACAACTATTGGCTCTATCCCTGTGCAGACCGAGGGAACAGGGAGTGATTCACCCCCCACCACCACCACCAGCAGCCTGCAGCCCCCATGCCGGGCATAAGCTCCACCGCGCCTCGTTATGAAAACTGGGACATGGACCACCTCGATCATTACCAACATTATTTCTACGACGACCACGACCCGGATGAGGATTTCTTCAAGTCTACAGCGCCCAGCGAGGACATATGGAAGAAATTCGAGCTGGTACCGACCCCGCCCATGTCCCCCATCCGGGCGGTAGAAGGGTCGGGCAGGGTCGGACTGCTGTACCCGTCTCTGGGGGACAAGCTGGAGTGGGTCTCTCAGTTCTTGGGGCAGGAGGATGAGCAGCAGCAGCAGCAGCAGCAGCAGGACCTGCCGAGCAAGCTGACCGCGGCCAACGACTCCTTCGGGAACCTGAGCTCCATTATCATACAAGACTGCATGTGGAGCGGCTTCTCCGCCGGGCAGCAGCTGGAGAGAGTTGTAGGGGAGCGCTGCGCCTCCTGTCCCGGGACGGGGGCGTCTGCCGCCAAAGTCGCCGCCGGGTCTGCCGTTTCTTCCCCGGGGAGGGCGCAGTGTGCAGCCGCCGACACGCCAGCCCTCGGCGGCTTGGTGACGGACTGTGTGGACCCGGCTGCGGTGCTCACTTTCCCGCTTACCGGTGGATGCAAGAAACAAGTGTCCTCTGGTTCAGAGTCTCACACCGACTCGTCAGGTCAGTAACAGAAGCAACACAGGACTTTTCTGTAACAATTGTGTTTGTAGCTTTTCTTTGACTTCTAGTTTGTCCGTGCTGGTGATTGGTAGATATCTACTTTGTGTTTTTATTCTAGTAGGCTATTATTTATATAATTTTTTTAATTTCTTTTGCAAGGGTGACTGTGGGTTAATAATTCCACGTTTGTTTCCCTCATTCAGTCAACACATAGCTTTGATCAGCCTTTATCTGGCAGTAACAGGGTTGGCATGGCACATGATGACTGCATTGCGTTACCTTGGTGCATGCAACACATGCTTCAAGCCCAGAGAGTGACACGCCCATTGAAACATCTGCTGCTTGGCGGGGCTCCAGCAGACCAGCTGCTACCTCTCCCTGCTCCTCCAGTCTGAATTATGATAACAATATCCTCTCCTGCGCTCCCTGGCTCGGGTTTGACATGAATTCAGCAAAGAGTTACACATTATTGGAACTTTATGTAACAAGGAGGGAAAGGAGGGGGGAAAGAGGAAAATCTACCCCCTCTTTAGTTATTATGTCTGGCCTAAATTTTCCCTGACCTCAGACCTCCTTTTTTTTTTTCCCCCTTCATATTCCCTCCGTGAACCCATATGATCGACTTTGGTATGTAGGCTGCCATGTGATGTTGAGCTTGGACCATGCATAATGGTGTGTGGAATGTCACAAAGGGAACTTGTTGCTGCATTCCTCCACTCAACAGGCTGCAGCGCCAATTGTGTCAGTGGGTGGATTTGGTCCCAGCCAGCCAGCCAGCCAGCCTGGGCTGTGAATAGAGCGGGATTAGCCATTTAGGAGGTCGGCTAGGCCTGCAGAATTCTTTGACATGAGTTTTCAAGGTAGTATTTCGCGCCGTTTCAGGGGGATAATGTGTACTCAAAGAAGAGGAGAATGAGCGATCATAAAGCTCCAATAAAGAGTCAGTATAGAATAGGGCTACTTGGGGGATTTTTCTTCTGTATGCCTGATAATATGAGATGTTATCTTTTGTCATATAAATGCGGTTGAATATAGGCAGACACCCCCACCCTCTCCACAGTGTTATTCATGTAGAGATTACTACTTTGTGAGCTGCCGAATCCACAGAGGTGCAATTACTTAAAAAGTGTTTCAGTTCACAAGAGAATTGAAATTCTCCCCAAGAGTCTAGTCAGTTGGCGGGAATAAAGTCGATGACGCCTTCCCTTTATGTTTAATACACCATTTCCACTCAAGTAAATAGAGCAGCAAATGGTCTTCAGACCGGTGCGCTGTTGAATATTAGTCAGCCTGTTTTAACAAGTTGAAGAATTGCTGATTTTTCACCTGAGTGCTTCTTAACGCAGCCTGTCTCTGCCTCTCATCCTCACTCCATCCACATGAATGGAGAGGGAGAATTTCCACTCAGGGAGCTGACCTAATGTAGTGATGATTCACAGCATTAGTGAGAGGGTGTATTTTTACTGTGTGTGTGTGTGTGTGAGATCATGCAGGTGTCATGAGGTTGCACGAAGTGCATTTTTACAGAAGCATTTAATTGGCTTAAGGAGTCACAGGGCCAGAGAGGGTGAGGGTTAGCTCCGTCTCTCTCACCTCAGCTGTCACTTACAGTCTGAACCACATGTTTCTTTTTTCTACAGTCAAACATTTTGTGTAATGGATTTCTTTTTGCCCCTTCAGATGATGAAGATGACAAGGATGACGATGAAGAGGAGATTGACGTGGTGACGGTGGAGCACAAGCAGCAGCAGCGTAAGCCTCGTCGACTGGTCAACAGCCGGAAACCTGTGACCATCACGGTGCGGGCCGACCCCCTCGACCCCGGCATGAAACGTTTCCACATCTCCATCCACCAACAGCAGCACAACTATGCTGCCCCATCCCCAGACACTCTCCCCGCGCCCACCGAACCGCCTCGCAAGAGGGTCCGGCAGGAGGCCTCCACCCAGGCGATCCAACCTCACCAGAACTCTCACTACCACCAGCCGCGGCCCGGCCACGCCCCTCTGAACTTAGACAGCAGAAGGTCTCATGTGACCGTGGCTGGAGTCAGGTCAGAGTCGCCGAACCTCAGCGCCTCCTCTCCCACCTCCTCCACATCACCTTCGTCTCCTCCCTCCTCCTCCTCCTCTTCTTCCTCCTCCCAAAGCTCTCCATCGAAGCCCCACTCCCTCTCCCACTTCTCCAGCCCCCAGTCCTCCGACTGCGAGGACACAGACAAACGCAAGGCGCACAACTTCCTGGAGCGCAAGCGGCGGAACGACCTGCGCTCCCGTTTCCTGTCGCTGCGGGACGAGATCCCGGGCTTAGCGGACTGCCCCAAGACTCCAAAGGTGGCGATCCTGACGCGAGCCACGGAGTACCTGCAGCAGCTGCACACCAGCGAGAGGCAGAAGGCTCAGGAGAGGAAGCAGCTGAAAGCCAGGCAGCTGCAGCTGCTGCAGAGGCTGGCACAGCTCAAACGATCCTGAGCGTCCGAGGGGGGGGGGGGGGGGCGGCTGTCACCACACACGTACACTCACAGAACTCAATGGGACTACATGAAGGAGAAAAGACACTAATGTTCACTTTGAGTTGGTCACGTTGGAATAGTGCGGGTGGATTGTTTTTGTTTTTTGTTTTTCTGTTTTTGTGGTTTGCACATTAGCTTCTGAGTGATTGACAAGGCCACAAGCCGGTCGGGACAGCAAGCTAGGGACTGATCTTATGAATCTAACGGGCAGATGAATATGTCCATGGTTACTCAATACAGATATGTCAAACTGTAATGTTTCCCCCTGCTAAAAATGTTCAAAACTGTTGCTTGCTACTGGGAAGGCTGCTGTGAAAGCAGCAGCTTCTAGTTGATGAACTGCTACAACTGTGCTGTTTAACTGCTGCATGGTCTGGTCAGACGTCTCCTTGTGATAGATGTGCTTGCACGGCAATGATGTCTCCTCTTTCTATCAGTCTGAAGAGCCCCCTAGAGTTTCTTTCCCCCTTCAAATTTCAGCTTTGTTTTTCCTCTAATGCTGGCATACGCTTGGCATACAACTTTTTTTGTGTGTTCTTTTCCATTTTCATTTACTTCTCACTCGCTGTGTGTAGCATCTACCCTCTATCCCTGTTGTTTTTTTTCTCCCTGTCAGCATTAGAAGTTTCTAGCTTTATGCTTGCTGATAATGGAGATGCACGGGGCTATAGTTGGACTGTACTGAGCCATGCAACAGTAATGTTACAACTGGACGGACACAACATGTTCTGCACCTCTGAAATAGCTCAGGTTAAGTCTTAACTTCTGTGCCTGCAGGTTTCCACTGATAAACTTGTAGTTTTCTTCTTGCATCAGAGATGTTCCGGCACTTTGGTCACAGTAACAGCCTGTTTTGTTTTTTTTTGTTTTTTTTGTAGCATTTTATTTGGAGAAAATGAGATTTGTTGCCATGCAGGCATTGTTTTGAGATAGATCATATTTTCAAGCAACAATCTGCAAAAACAGTAAGAGAATTTTTTACCAAGCTTTCACGCTCCCTAATATTGTTGTGCAATGGAGACCAGCCAAAATGTGAATGTCGGCTTCAATTAATTAACCAAAAGAAACTCTTATAAAACGGCTCAAATTTAATCTATATGTCATGTCATAAAAAAATGCCAACTTCTGCCCACTGAGTTCCAAAAGTACATTTCTTTCATCTTGCTCTCTGATTATATTTGTACATTTTTTTTTTTTTTTTTGCATTTCATGTAATGCCTATAGAAGCCTTTCAATGTATGTAGACTATCCTGTTGGATGTTATGTATATAGTTCCCTTACTGTACAGCCCCTTCCAAACCAAAACCAGAGCTGTCTACTATACTCATCCTAGTTCTTGTTGGGCCTTGCGTGCTAAACCGGGGCCAGGCTTGCTGGCTTTTCAAAGATAACTCAAAGCTTCTATTTTTGTTAATAAAATGATTATGAAAAAGAGTCAAAATAAAACACTTACTGAACATTGATCACACTAGCCACTTTGTCACACATTTTCTTTTTTTTTTTTTTTCTTTTTTGTAATGCCTACTTGTTTTCATTACTTTTTCTGTGTCTGGGGTTTCTTTATTTGTACAAGTCAAGAGTTGACAAAAGTTTTATACTATATTTTCCTACCGAGTTGTGTTTCAGTGTGAGCTAATGACTATTTTTTTTGTTATGTAGCCACCAGGGCTTTATTGGTGGTTATGTGCTGAAAATTGGCATGTGTGGTCTGCTTTCTCCCTCTCTCTTTGGAGTGGAAAGCACCTGAAAGCTCCTGTATTCAATCCAATCACTGTAGCTGTAGCACTCTCTTAAATCTGGCGCGAGGTGTGGGGGTGGAGGGGGGGGAGGCTTAAGAGGATCTACCGATTTTAAACTTCTGGCTGTGTGTAGCCTTAATGTTACGGCTCTCTCTGCTTTTTTTTTTTTTCTTTTTCTTTTTTTCTTTTCTTTTTTTGCAAGCCCGGCGCTCCCTACTGTCCCATAAGCCATGCAACAGAGAACACTGTAGCCCTGGATCTAGTACTGTAAATGACTCGATCACGAGTAGCATCGCCTGCTTTTACCAGCACTCAGGAAACCCCCCCCCCAAGTAATCTGTAGCTCTTGTGATAGGCTCATAGACTCTGCTTGAGGGGGAAAAACCCGTAATATAATATGCTGTATGTATAACATAACCTCAGAAAGCACCCTCAGAGATGAAAAGAGAGAATTTGATCAGAGGATTCGTGATGGTTAAAGAAATACTTACAAATATCATTAATGTTTCCCCTTTTTCCTCTGTCTTCTTAAAAAAAACTCAAATGAATTCAGCACAAACCACCAGTAGCCCTGATTTTTAGTTTTGTTTTTCAATAGGGTGCACCCACAACAGTGGTTTGGCCCATATTTCTGTTTTGTTTAACTTGTATTGATCACTGGTCTCTGCGGTTGGCACAGTCATGGTAGCAGTGGACATTGCTTGCTTACTTTGGGAGTTCAATTATGGTGATTTGGAGCCTTGTCTCAGCACTTTGTTTTTTCTGTACCTCATAAGCCTCTATGTATGAAGAGTAAGTCATAAAATTAATAAATTTCATGGTTTGACATCATAAACAACCTGTTTTTCTTCTCTGTTTGTCCCTTTCACATGCACAAGGAGAATCATCAAATAGCCTTGTATTATTTCAGCTGAATAAAGCTACACTCAAATCCATTGTCTCGCTTTAAACTGGATCACACTGTTATTGTATTACACTCATTTGTTTTCCATACAAACCACCTGTATGAGTGAACACACATCTCCCTCTCCCCAGCCACCATTTGTTCTGAGCAGTCTCCAAGGTAACCCATCCTGGCATCTTTGCCATGGCAACAAGCATCTTTGCTCATCGTTGCAGAGCTCTGTTTCCATAGAAACAATACCAACTATTCTTCAGCCCTCCCTGTAAAGCCATTTCATAGACATTGTAAATGTTATCATCAATCTGTTCACAAATGCAGCAACAAGGACATACAAGACTATTCTGACGCCTTATTGGCTGATTCATTTCTTTGATGAACTGGTTTTAATCCAGTTTAATGACAGGTAAAGCACCAGTAACCAATCCGAGCGTGATCTGCATCAGGAAGGCTAAAATGCTACAAAAGATCTACACTTATTTGTCTGAAAATGAATCCAGCCCCATCAATCAATGTTGCCACAGCAACGGCTGCCTGTTGCCTGGCAACAGAGCCCACCTCTCAAGTCTACGCCCACTGCGCATGCGCACGGACGTCAGCTGGGCGCTCAGGCAGCAGCATCATGGCGGCGTCCACTCGTAGCGTGCAGTTCGCTTTGCGGAGAGCGATAGCTCCGTCGTTGGTGGTTGTTTTGGGAGCTACCGGCACCGGCAAGTCCAAGCTGGCGATCGAGATCGGAAAACGGCTTCAGGGAGAAATAATCAGCGCCGACTCCATGCAGGTAAGAAAAGTGTTGAAACGAGGAACTGCGCAGGGAGACCTTGACATGGCAGCCATAATGCTCTGGATGACACTCAGATGATTGAAATAAACCGAGTAAAACAATCGTTTTCAGTCAGATTAACACAGTCACGAATACAAGCTAACAGGCTGCCGTTTAACTCGGTGTTTTGCAATGAGGAGTTTGTAAAAAGCTAAATATGACTGCGTCAGATAGCAGGCGTTAGCATGATCGTGGAACTGACAGTAAATTTCCATCACAATCAGACCAAGCCTCCACTATTAACAGTTAAAGATCTGCACTGACTCGTATCGAGTCTGCATTTAACATCGCCTCAGATGCGTTGGGACAGTCTCTGCACCAGCATCAGTCTGTAGGACACTGCAGGGACATGGCAGCTGAAGACAAACAAGACACGCCACAAATTGACCTGATAAATACATGCAACAGGCTTTGTTGTTTTGCAGAAGTCAGGTTAAGTGCAATGAAGTCAACTGAAGTAAGGACGAAGTGGCTTTTATCAGAACATACACACACAAAGAGAAAGTCCAGATAAAACGAGTCATAGCAGTTTATAAATGAGTCCTGTACTATTTTCATGTCTTCTGTCCATCCCATGTCTCTCTGTCACAGTCTTAACTCCATTTCAATCCCCTGATATCAAAATATCAAATGGCTTTAACTCTATAATTTTGCCATTTGGTGACATCATATGATGACCATGCAATATCAAGCTGCTTCCTTTGAGATAGACGAATGAAGCACAAATGGTTAATTAAACCAGTGATTACATGTGGTAGACACCTTTAAATTTAATTATTTGAAAATACAGTGAAGATAAATTGCATTATTTATCTTAAGATGTGACTTTTGTCATGTGAAAACCACATTGGGAATTACATATGAGATAAAAAATTAGTTAAGGAAACTGAAGTGTGACTGCAGTGAAAGGAAGCACAAGACTGGATGGAAGAAAGGCAACCCCCCAAAAAACTATATACTTAATAAATATTATACAATATAAAGCATGAAAAATAAAAAAAAGGAAAATCCTTTATTGTGACTCAAATCATCAACAGTTTGTAATAAATAATTCAATACAAAAATTGCACTTTGAGGAATGGCATCAGGTGGCAGCTGTGATGCTTTGATAAAAGTGTTTGCAACATGAACCACAGCTGAGAGAGATATCTGAGGAGAGGATAAAGGCAAAATGAACTCCAGATACTGAATAAAACAAATGGTACTTTGCTTAATGAGACAGTGATTATAGAGTATACTGTCTGGGTCCATGATGACTTCTTCTCAGTCATTTATGTAAGAAGTATACAGCAGCACAGCTCGGAGCTAAATAAAGCAAAGCAAGAATGAATGCAGATGAGTCATGGGTGAAGTGAACTGAGATGATGTTTGTTTACTGTTGTGTTTTTATAGCTGATCCAGTCACAGTAAATCTGGACTCATTTCTTAATATCGCCTTCGGCAGGAAAAAGTAAAGTCTGTATATGTTGAACAGTAAGATGTCAGCGCTGTATCAGAGCACTGTAGTGAAATAGAGATAATACATCCTCACTTCCGTGTTTGTGTGTGTGTGTGCGTGCGTGTGTGTGTGTCAGCGCAGCGACATTTAAAAACTCTCACGCTTGCGTCGCTCCTCTCGCCTCTCTCTCAGCCCCGCCCTCCCTTTTTTGGTTCTCAGGCTCCGTTGCCGCAGCAACCAGAGGGCGCGCGCACAAAAGAAAAGGTTGGGTACCAGTTTGAGTCCAGGTCACGCTCGATCACCGCATGGACACACAGAGGAACACACACACACACACACACACACACACACACGCACACACACACACACACACAGCAGCTCCAGTTTATCCATATCTGCCAGTGTCCAGCAATGATTTCTCCAAACTGCAGAATTCAATCACTTATCACATCTTCAGGCGCTTCAGCAGCACCTTGCTTACCCCCCCCCCCCCCCCTCCTTTGCGCCACTTGGCGTGTGCATTGTCCTTGAGAGTGTGTGTCCCTGCGGGGAGCGATTCTTTCAGCAGTCACCTGGTACTGGGTAAACTGGGTTACGCTAATAACATTTCAGCCCAAAAATATCTCCACCACCAGCAGCTCTGGTGGAGAGAAACTAGTGGCCTAGTTTGCAGCACGGCAGCCCCAGCCTATCTCCACAATCCCCAGCCTTGTTGCTACCCTCCTGTTGGTGTGTGTGACAGCGAGAGAAAGCGAGAGAGACATGCAGACATAGAGTGAGTGAGAAAGAGACTGCTTATGTGAGAATGAGGCTGTGTATAGGCTAGAGCTGGCCTGTGTTGTCTTTGGGATAGGAAACAGTCTGGTCTTGTTTGGGAGAAAGCAGCATTGTGCTGAGCTGGTGCATATTCAGCGCCGTGCTACGCCAGCCCAGCAGCTGATAGTGAATGGGCATGCTGTGGCCACTGGGAAGTGTCTATTGTCCCAGGGAGAATTGGTTCCCACACTCCCTAACACTCCTATTGTGTTATCATCACCCACCCCTCCTGTCCCTGGCCCATGCCCCCAACCCACAGTTCATTGGACATGCAAGGGGATATTATTCACTCATTAAATGAACATGCTATCTATGGCACACACACACAAGTGCTTCGCTGTACTGTCATTGAATGAGGCACTGCCAAATAGTGTAAACCCGTGGTTCCCAAAGTGGGGTCCAGGGACCGGTGGGGGTCCTTCAGAGGCTTCCAGCAAAACTGTCACTGTTCTTTTCACTCCCTAAAAGTTGGAATTATGGGAAAATGTGAGTGTTTCAGAGTGATTTCAGGTCTGTCAGCCGCTCACTGTTCCCATCACCTCACCTATTTATAGCAGAATTATCTCTCTGGGAATCTGCATGTATGACAAGTCTTAAATTAGACAATAATTTAAAGTCTTACACAGAGAATCAGAGGTTTCTGTGCACCACGTTCACTATTAGATGAATCCAGAACTGGGTTAGTAGTACAGTACATCATACACTTTACTAAATTTAACTGGACTCAATGCCCTTTTACATTTAACTTCCTGAGGTTCCTTTTCTCTTCAGTTTTTGAAATAGATTCTAGTCATCAGAGGCTTAAATTCAGATGTTTAAAATCACCCAAATGTTTCAAAAATCTCAATCTGAGTCCTCAGAGCCATATAACCTCGTACTGATACCAGAACATTTTCAAGCTTCTGACGGCTGCTGTTACACTATGTCACTTCAAAGAATGCGAAAAGACATGCAATGGTAAAAGGATGCATAAAGTTTTATTACTTGTAAGTTATTTTTATGAGCATTATTTAGATAGACACGGAGAGAGAGAGAGAGAGAGAGAGAGAGAGAGAGAGAGAGAGAGAGAGAGAGAGAGAGAGAGGAACGTCAGGGAGAGAGAGAGGGGGATGACATGCAGCAAAAGGCCGTGGGTTGGACTTGAACCCGGTCCACTGCGGTTATGAATAAGCCTTTTTATTTATTTTTCTTGCATATCGTTCAGCCCTTGTACATATATAATAATACCACATCACAGTCGTGAGTGACTGTTGCACTGATTGTTTGAAAGGCACAAGTTGTAGGATTTTACTGTTTTGAATCAGGCTTTTGATGAGCCGACATCATTTGTCAATCAGGTGCGGCCTCGGGGGAGAGGGTGATTCATCAAGCCGCCGTCGACCGACAACGCTCTGCAAAGCATTATTGGTAATAAGAAACAGCTGAAATAGACAGTGACAGCGAGGGAATGGAGTGAGTGCACTTCAGAGGTGATTCATGTGTGGAGAGCTCCGACATTAGATCAGTGTACTTAAAGCTGTGATCATCGTTCGTACGTTACGCCGCTGAGCTCCCTGTCTCACTGCTTGTTTTAAGAAAATTGGCAGCGGCTGGGCTTCGCCACCGTCGCTGTGCAAACTGTCCATGTCTTTATACGTCTATCACTTCTTCCGCGTCCGTCACTCATTTTTTTTTTTGCACACGTGTTGTTCACTTACCAACATGACGGATCTGAAACGTCCGACTGGTGCTTTTGTGTGCTTTAACTAAGGACGATAAACAGCAGGTACTTTATGATACAGTACAGATCATTTCCTACACTGCTGATCAAGTATATATCTGGATTCTCAGTTGGACAAACTAGGTCTCAAATATCAGATATTTTTAATTCTCCTGGGACACTTGAACGCACCAGCAAGGGTGAGTTTTAACTCTGACAAAAATAAAGATGACTTCATGTTCACCGACATGGCTTTCCAAACTGAAGAAAGTTTCAAGTTTATTTATACTGAACAGAGAAGCAAATGGAGAATAATTGCTGCTCTAAGGGCAGGAAATGAATCTAAATTGATAATAAGTGATGCAAAGTCTATTCAATCATGAGTTAATTGGCTAAATCATGCAAAACCACCAGTGCGATTCCGTTATTACTTTTAAGATTTGAATCACTCCACATTTTCCGCTCACTAAACAAAGTTTGTGCTCATTATGCTTTTTGTGCATGAGCAGATTTCTCACGCTTACGCACAGTCATGTGTTAAATGCGTTAACTAATAACACATTGTCACCACAAAATAAATTGTTTCACTACAGGGTGTTAAAAAAAAAAAAAAAAAAAAGGGGGTGTGTTTCAGCTTTTTCTGTGTGTGTGTGTGTGTGTTAGTATGGATGTGGCTTTCTTTTACTAAAGGGCCATCAGAGGTTCCTGGGGGGGCAATTTAACAGGTCATGCAGATGCACGCACCATTACATTAGTTTGTGGGACTATTGGAAGCATTGGTGGCCAGTGACCCTTTGCTTTATGCATGTATAAAAGAAGGAGCCACCGTATCCTCTTAAAGGGCGACGTGAGCTGTGAAAGTTGTGACAAAGGGAGACAATTTGTAAGGCTTATTCATTTTCTGAGAAATAGGCGCGAAAACAGTAGGAAAGCTGTCATGTGTCATCTCGGCCGCTGCGGTGCCATAAAAGTGGGATGAAGGACCAGGTCATTCTGAGTAAAAAC